GAGAGAGAGAGAGAGAGAGAGAGAGAGTATGTGTGTACTCACCGCTCCATCGCGCGGCTTTCACTCCGTCTGCGACGCGAATAATAAAGCAGAAGCGTGTTTACTGGCCGCGCTCTTCCGCACACATCAGCCCGCTGACGTCACCCGCACGAGGTCACGTGACCCCGCCGCAGTGCGCATGCGCCATCTGCCTTACTTCTTTCATTCAAAACGAACATTTAGCGCACATTAAACATTTTTTTTTTTTACATATTTAATGCCATATAGTATGAATGTATTGGTCTGGTCATTATGAGAAATTAATCACAGGTGTATGGATCGCCTGGATTCGAGCGCACGCTGTGTCTAACGCGCCGCGGTCTGTGTGTAAACACGAGTAATCTCACGCGTTGAGAGCTGGTTACCTGTAGAAGCGCTCGCTCTTGTAGGGCGTCAGGTCCTGCTTCAGCTCGCTGCAGGCCTCCAGTATTCTCCTGCAGAGCTGCTTCACCTCCCCGAGCACTGGCTCCTGCGGCCGCTCCATGCCTCCTCACCGACGGATCTGCGCGACACGTGATCGAACGCGTTCAGGACCACGGACAGGTCCTCCGCTCACTGCATAGGGCTCACTGCATAGGGCTCACTGCATAGCGCTCACTGCATAGGGCTCACTACATAGGGCTCTTCAACCATAAAAACATTTTCGAAAACGCATATAAAAGGCATAGTTGTATAGTTTTATGCTTTTATATTAAATATTCTATATATTTTCTTATATTTGCATGAAGTGGCTTGACGCTTTATTGTTTTGCAATTTTTAAAGTTAGTATAATGTGCTCACTGCATAGGGCTCACTGCATAGGGCTCACTGCATAGGGCTCACTGCATAGGGCTCACTGCATAGGGCTCACTGCATAGGGCTCACTGCATAGGGCTCACTGCATAGGGCTCACTGCATAGCGCTCACTGCATAGGGCTCACTGCATAGGGCTCACTGCATAGGGCTCACTGCATAGGGCTCTTCAACCATAAAAACATTTTCGAAAACGCATATAAAAGGCATAGTTCTATAGTTTTATGCTTTTATATTAAATATTCTCTATATTTTCTTATATTTGCATGAAGTGGCTTGACGCTTTATTGTTTTGCAATTTTTAAAGTTAGTATAATGTATCACTTACCCTAAACATGAACACTAAACACAAGTTAATACACCAGCTATAGCGACAAACACGACTAATCAGTCGATATAACAAAACGCATAATTCTATACATTTATGCAGACGCTTTTGTGCAAAATATTCTCTGAATTTCCCTTAAATATGAAGCGGCTTAGTATTGTTTTGCTATTTATTTACTTTGGTATAATATAGAGTATATACTATATGTAATGTAAATAGTATAATGTACTGGTTTAAGAAACCCCTTTGTTTTTTTCCACTAAAATCATACATTTATATAAAAATAGTAGCTTGACTTTAGCAAAACTAAACATTGTTTTTAGTCTAAATTACACAAAAATATAAACTATAAAAGGTATACAAAATAAAACACACAAAGTATATAAAAAATGGCAATGCAAGTGAATTGAGTGTTTCAGAGAACCCTTTAGCAAGCAAATGTAATGCACTCTATTCACTGCGGTTGTACCATGGTGAAGTAATGGTAATACCACGCTGCTTATGCAGTGCTGCAGAATGACTCGGATATCACCGTATTTAAATAGCATTTACTTTTAACACAGCACTTCATTTTATAATCACGTTTCTCCAATGTGCGTTTACGTTACTGATAAAAGCATGCAAATGATGCTCGTGACTTTGGTATAATCAGTGTGTTTGTTACGCAGACACTCAGGAGAGATATTTCAACCTGTACACTTTTATTGGGCTACGCACAGACAAAGGACACAATTCAGCTTTTGAGGAACAACACAACTGTTCATTACAGTACAATGCAAACCCTAGTGCATAGGCTTCAAGTTAGTCACGCCTGACCCCCCAGAGTCCGTTTACTAAACAAGAGTCAAAAAAGGGGAACTGGCGAAGCATGAGATTCCCCTAAATATACAGTATAGGGCAAATAAACCGATAAAGACGCTTCCAAAAAAGTAACCGAGACAACAAGTCCTAACTTTCCTGCCAAGCGGTCACCTCAAACCCAAACGGCATCATGGGTGCATTTCGCTTATTTTTGACGGAATGGACTAAAGCAAACGTGAATCCAAAATGTATTGCAATTATAACGAACCGTGGCGTGCATCTTCAGTTCCAAAGCCATTCCATGCTCCCCTCTTCCAAAACAAACACGTTCCTTAAAAAACAAGTAATATCATTTACCCAGCATGCCTCTGTGCCCTTCAATACAAACATTCGCTCACCAAAGTCACGTTTTCCTTCTCCAAAGCACTGACCTATTCCTACGAATACCAAGCACATTTCAAATAACAATAAAGTCAGAATCGGAACACGTATAAGACGCGCATCGGATGGAGCAGGTGATGCAACAGTTAAAGCACGACGCTCTAAAACTGTGTTCTGGTTTCGACTCCAAAACCCACCGCCGTCCAATCCTCATCCACAAACACCGCTTCAGCGCCATCCACGTTATATACACGACACCAGCTGAAGAACCGTTTGTACACCAATAACGCTCACACTTACTAAAGGTGGATTAAATGGCAGAAATCCGACGGTAGAGAAAGCACAATATTGCACAAACAAGACATAAATAAATAAATAAACAAACTCTTCCGTTGAGAACATCGACTACTTTTTCTGGAATCACCATCAGGGGACTCTCCGCATGAAACAAAACACCGTTTTGACATAAGACAGACACGCATGCACACAAACGTGTTTTTATGCTGCGATGGCTTCCGATCACCAATACTGTCGAACTCTTTCAAAAACACCGAACCACTAAAAACAATGTAATGATTACTGTTGCAGGCCTTTAAATTCACTCTCCTCTGATCTGGGACTCGTCTATTCATGCCGTATCGCTTGCTTGTTTTGTTGGTATCAGTCAAATCAAATAAAAAGAAAACGTTACGCATGTTGCGTAATCCTCACTGCTGTTCCTCGCAAACCTACTGCTGAATTACACGGTGATATTCTTAGCACTGACAACAAAACGTGTCACACAAACATCATTTTCAAAAAAATGAAAGGTATGACATTGCTGAAGCACGGTAGAAAAATATCTCCTGTTTGCGCATGTCGAGGTGGACTAAATGTGGCTTGAGAGCCATTACACAAAATCACTTCACAGAAGCGTCAGCAGGGGGCAGTCACTTCATGTGGTAGTGGTGGTGGGGGGGGGGCATGAGTACTGATTGGCATTTCACTTCCTGTTTCACAGCAGGAAAGAGACGCACAATCAGAGTGAACAAGACGGCTACAAAAAAACAAAGAAATGCAAAACGCACTAATAAAGTGTGGATGAACAAACAAACAAACATTCAAGAGGAATTAATCATTAAAAACATCTAAGTGCTAATGAATACAGCATCAATGCTTTTACCGTTAAGCTTATTCGGTCTGCCAAAGCAAGTCCATCCTAACAGAAATACCTAGAGTGTACTGTATATTCAGTCTAACTATTTCTTAGTAAAATACATTTTTATGACTGCAAGCCAAAAGCATCTAATCAGATGCTAGCTGTTGAACTCCAAGGGTAAAGTCCCTGGAAGCGAGTTTAGATATTACGTCCTCAAAGTGTGACAAACATTAGTATCTTATGCAAAAACAAATTAATTAGTAATGACAGTATGTTGTACAGCAATTGATTTCAGTGCCCAGTAGTACCTCTAACACTCGGAAAATGTGGCTTCCCAGATGTAGTTTTCAAGTATTAGTACTGCATCTTAAACTGGGAAAAAAATGCTTAAACGGACAACAGAGAGCAAAGAAAGAAATGGTATAACTGGCTAAAATGTTCCAGCCCAGTCGATCACTTGAGGCGCTGGGTGACATTAGCAAGTGCTACAGCAAAAGCCTGCACAGCTGAGAAGGGGTACTGAAAGTCCAAGATGTATGCATTCCCATCGATCCTTCCGAATTGCATCACCTACACAGAGTGAAATAGAAGTTAGAAAGCACACAAATGCTGTCCAAAAGAAACAACATCTAACGCTTCTTGCGTACCTGTCTCCCCTCGAGCTCAATCTGGAAGTTCTTTGCCGATTCCTGCGTGACTCTTCCTCCAAAGTCCAGCTGGTAGACCTGCGTGGCTTCATTCCAAAGAGGCTGTTTGTTGGCCATGATGTAGACGAACCCTTGGCTGCCGAGGCCGCGGTCTTCTTTCTCGTTAGCCTTTCGGCATTTGATTTCGTCCTCGCAGCCTCCCGCCCGCAAATTCCTTTTTGATTTCCAGCTCTTTTTACCGCTCTGGCTCTGGTTCATCAGCTCGTCGCCGCTGATGAAGAGCTCTGGCTCGCTCTCGGAGCTGTCCTGGAACTCGTTTGTGGTGGCCTTGCTTAGCTTTTTGGCTTTCAGCTGCTCTTTCTGGCCTTTCGGTTTCTTCTTGTCTCGTCCACCTAACCTCGGACTGGAGATGAGGGAGTTGAAGTCACTGAGGGCACGGCCCTCTTTTTTGGACTTGTTGCCCCCTTCTGTGATTGCTGGAACGTTGGCTTCATCCGCCCGACTGTTGTCCAAACGCTTTCGGTTCTTCTTGCCAAACCTGTCCGCTCTTTGAGGAACCGGGCTTTCGTTCAGTGACAGCACCTCCTGAAAGCCTTCCCCAGCTTCGGCGATAGCCTCTGGAGGACTGACCGCATTCTGGTGGTCTGGAGGTGGCGTAGGATGAGGGGGTGGTTGGGGGGGAGGAGAAAGAACAGGCTTATCCAGCATGTGGGAGGTCTTTGGTGGAAGGGATGGTGCAGGACCTGGGGGGCTTGGCATGGGTGGACAAGGATTGTAAGAACCCCATGGATGAAGAGGAATGGGAGTCATAGGCAGACTAGAACAAGAAGCTGTCCCAGGGTACATTGGTGGGAGGGGGCAGCAAGCAAGGTTGGGCAAATTGGGAGGATAACCAGGTGGCATGACCACTGCTTGGTCCTGCTGGGAAAAGGGAAGAGGAGTAACCACCTCTTTGGGAGAGGTAGGACGTGGAGAAGCTTGCACGGAACCACTGTAGGCTGCACTTGGTGGATAGGGCAGAGCAATCTGGTATGCTCCTGCTGGTTGGAAAGTTGTGGCGTTAGGACTTGTTGGAGATTTAGGCGAGAGGACAAACGGAAGACGGGAGACGTCCAGATGCTGTGCAGGGCTGAGGATGAGTGGGGGAGGTTTGTGGGAAGCAGGAGGTCCAGACGTGGGCAGAGTAGCTGTACGCTCTTGGGGGACCCAAATCTCTTCAGTAGCAGACGGATCCCATTGATACGGCGGTGGCCGTTTGACTGTCAAACTCACAACCTCCGTATTAAGAGCCATTTGCCTCAAAGACTGATTTAATGCCTCATCCTCTGTAAAGGCGGAGTTGATATAGTCAGCCCTTTCCCTGTTTCCACCTCCACTAGCCACTCCACCGGTGCCATCCATACTGAGTAGGCTGTAGGAGGAC